GAGGAGGAAGAGGAGGAGGAGGATAATGCTAGGAGGAGGAGGTATGGTATGGTATGGGTTTGCGCTAAACGCGGGGTCAAACCCTAAATCAGAATGGCTCGGCGTCGGACTCGCCCTCATCGGGGCTGTCCGCGCTCCGCTGCAGGGCCGATCGGCCGAGGTCTCGGACCAGTTCGAGCTCCCCCTCCCACAGCCCAAACGCCCTCAGAACCTCGGCCCGCCCCCCAGGGCCCCCAAGATCAGCCCTTCCCCATCCGCCGCTAGCCCCGACGCTTGGGGCCGAGGGCTGCGGCTCTGGGGGCAGGCTCGGCTCGGCCTCGGCTAGGCTCGGGCGGGTCGCTGGCAGCACTCCGTGCGGCCTCCCGACCTTCAAAAAGCGCACATTGGCGCGGTACGAGGGGAATTCTCCTTTCTTGATCCTTCGCAGCTGGTCCACACCACCAGCTTTGGCCTTCTCGGGGCACCACCCCGAGAGACCCGTAGTTAGCTTACCGTCCGAGGCTACCGTGCCACAGCGGCAGCAGAAGACGACCGAGGAAACGTGGGCGGTGCGGCTGAGCACGTCTGCTTCCAGCAGGTTGTGGCCTCGCCACCAAAAACTGGCGTCGGCATACTCTTCCCACCCGTCGCCCACCCCGTAGCCAACGAGCGACGACGACCCCGCTTCCCCACCACTGCTGCTAGCCTGGGGCACAGGCTCGGGGTCCTCTGGGGCCTCAGGGTCTTCCACGGCAGCGGAGCCCCGAGACTTCCAGTACGCTTCCATCAAGTCCTCATGGTCCTGGCCATCGGACTCAACGTGCACACAAGCCGCCCATCGGGCGGATTCTTGGGCTAAAAACTTAAAGCCTTGCCACAACTGATACTGCTCCACACCCACGCCGTGCTCCGCAGCACCTAGCTTAGCAAACCTGTCGGCGTGGGCGTTCCCTCTGAACTCCCACTCCGTGGTAGCACCCGCATCTACTTGGGCCCTGGTGCAATGGGCCTTGGTTTTAAAAACTTGGAAGTCCCCTTCCGAGAACGCTCCCCAGAACGGACTCCAGAGCTGGGCCCGACCACAACTGCTTTGGGATCCCGCGCCTTCGCCGCCACGGAGAGTCCCAACAGTGCCTGCACAGTCTATAAAGACATCGGAGGGCGCCATAGCACACACACGCAGCATCGAGACGGCATAATCCTCCGCGTCTCTAGAGCTCTGCTTAGGACACACACACACACTGCGTGGGACGGGCCCGTAGGCCGCCGATACTAACTTTCCAAACCTATCTACCTGCACAATGGCCCAGCCCGCTCGGGCCAAAAACGGAGCCGAGGCCCATAGGGCCGAACCGTCTAAGAACAGCGTGCCACTCAGGAGCCCTGACTCAGGTCTGTTGTGCCACAAGATGGTCTCTTGGGCCTCGGTCGGGACTGGGAAGACCAACTCTGGCGACGGGAACAGGCCTCTCGCAAACCTCTCCCCCTCGTCGTACCCCCATTCGCGGACCCTGCGAGCCCTCGTCCTGTGGAAGTCGTCAACCCATTCACGCCTGAGCCCTGCATACTTCGGGCACTCGTAGGCCCTGTGCCACAAGGACCCTTCAGGATCACCACATACACAACACCTCGCTGAGCCGACAAGTCCACGGTGGTGGAGCCGACTTTGTGGCCAGTGTCCCCCAGAAATCAAAGATCTCAACGTCCTCTGAAACCTCTTCGTCCAGGATCCCTTGGTCCGATGCAGGAGCCCCTCAAGTCCTGCCCAACATATCGGCATATTCCACCTGGCTTTGGGCTCACGACGAAATAGAGCTTGCCGATCAGAAGCTCGCCTGGCGCCTGCAACTGCTAGCTCCTGAACGAGCGCTGGAGGTACCACTCGAAGGTCAAGCGCTTCCTGCCGATCCGTGACCATGCACGCACCTGACCGCAAACTCCAGCCTATTCTGCGGAGACTGAGAACGGCTACTTCAGCTGGGGCTGCTGCTAACCTCCAAGGTGTTTGAACTCCTTCGAGACGGCCCAGGGCTCCTTCCAGACACCGTTCCAGGACAGGAAGCTTCGGA